AAAGATACAGTCAATAATTACGAACAATCGTGGGTAAATTTTTACTGAAAGTTGATAACATAGATTCCAGAAATAGCCAGCAACATTGAATTCAATTTGGAGAGCAGATGACCAAACTCCTGTCTACAGAAGACCGAAGATGGCCTAACTCCTCACCAACCAATTTGTGGTGAAATTAAATGAAGAATTACTAGATATTTCAACTGAAACTATTTTTTTGTATGCTTCATGAATCACCAAGATTCATTTTGAATAGTATTATCGAATAGTACTCACTTTTGAAAGTACATTTTAACACATACACATACACAAGACATACACACAAACTTTGCTCTCTGTGTTGAAACTGGGAGTTCGGCAATTTGCTTATTGAATTTGACTGCAGTGAAGATTCGCCAAACGCGTTTCGTATATTTGAGCGCGAAGAGTGGTATTTTGAAGATAGAACGACTGTCATTAGATGAGGTGGTCGTTTGACTACCAGAGGGCAGCTAAAGCTCGATTTCGGCATTTGCATCTTAGGCACTCCAGTGGAGTAGTCGTTTTCTGATAGGCGTCAGTCCATTCAACCTCCTTTGTAGGTATAATCGAGACTGGCTTGAATATATAAAGTTCATTTATTTAGATTTCATTACACAAGATAATGAACAAGGATCTGTTTGGAATAAGACCTTTATTTCTGTTCATAGATCTCATTACCCCCCCTCCTACATTACTCATCTGGAGATGCAAAGTGAAGCAATCAGGATTGAAGTGAAATCAAATTATGTCATGTTATCCACAATTCGAAATCATTTGACTTTTTGTCACGGTCGCGAAAGCATCACACCTCATTGTAACAAGCAAATACACTTCGTTATGATGATTGTTATGAGTTCTTTCTTGGATTTTTTGAATTGTTTCATAGTTTTTTTCTCTATTGAAGTTTCAATTCCATCATTTGCATTTTTTTCTACATTACCTCTTGGTTCTATCGTGGAGAATATCCATTAGGAATCAATGCTTACTGAGAAAGGTAAAACTCTAGATGTTGTTGATGTATTTCAATTTTGTTGGCATGAAGCATTGGGAGATCATATGAAAGACGACGACCAAAAATTGAGTAACAGCCTGAAGAAGAAAGATCTTGACGACTTTTCAGCACCTCCATCCAACCCGGTTCATGCTGAAATGTGGAGAACTGACGCTCTGAAATGTGCTTACAAAATGTTGCTCTGATTCGCAATAACATCAACCATTGCAGGCTGTCCAATCTTCCTAAACTCCCGCAGTCGTTCGAATATTTTCATGACGCTCTTGAAAGCATGAACATTGATACGAATGAGCCAGAAAATCATCTTCAAATCAACTATTGCCAAAAGAATATTGTTTGCTTTTCTACAGTTTCAAATCACGACATAAATTTGAACATTTTACAGTGGTTTGAAGCCCTTTTCATCACTTATTCATTATTCATAGACTGCAGAAGGATATGTATTTTTCTTTAGTATTTTTTTTACCAAATCAAGGACAATCATTAATATGAATTCGACTTCCGCTCAAATACAGACATGTCCAATGAATTGAAAGTTGCATTTTAACCTTCTGTTATCCGTGCAGATTCTGGAAAAGCGATACATTCATCTATAAAAGTGCTGTGCTGGCTGTCGTTTACATATAGGTCAAAACTGGTGAAAAAAGTCAATAACTCGGTAAAGTCCAACGTACAGTGATCACAATTCAGAAATCAGTAGATTCTTGAAAGGAATCTTTGTACTACTTTTCATCTCTGTCTGAAGCCAGGAAATCTTTTGCTTTCGATTTCATTTCCATTCAGCCTAAACACTCTAGAGTTGAGGTATTTTGCGAGTATGTATTGAATAACTGCATTTCTGAAGAAGCTTATATCCTGCCAGAATCTGTGGCTGGATTTTTTTCATCGATAAATCGGATAACGAATGGTTGTGGGTTTTTTCACTCCAAATTCTGCCTCATTTCACTCTTAGAATCTCAATTTATATACACTCTTGAAAGTTCTTTTTGATGTGCAGTGTTATGTGTATATCAAAATGCGCAGCACTACCAAGAAATCTACTCAAGCTCTTCGGAAAGAGCAGTATCTTTATGATGAAATGCTGTAGTGTTCGTCTTCAATTCGTTAGGAATGTGACTTCAAAATTGTTACCAGCTTATTTCAGACAGAAAAAGGTTGATGTTTACTGAGAGCTGGCTTGATTTTCTTCCACTTATTTTCCGTTTTCATTGTGAGTTTTCCATCTCTTCTTTGACATGAAGCATTTTCGTTTTCAGAAATTCTTTTATTTCAGTTTATAATTTTAATTTTCAATTTCATTACTACGCTCAGAAAGTTAAAATTCTTGTCCCTGGAGTGAAAGTCTGAACGCTAGGTCCTCATAATCCACACTACTACTGACAACAAACAAGAAGAGTGTAGGTATTCTCTGCACCAAATTCAGGGTTACGTAATTACCTCCTGGATTAATCTCATTCCACATTTTTTGATTCTCAAACTTTCAGAAGCATCTGGAAGACTTCGTCATATACCGATCTCAACAATTTCAAACTCTTTTCACTGTGGTCATTGCCTGTGGCATGTAGAGCGATACTGAACTCATCTGGTCTGCGAAATTGAATATGTGGAACATATTACTTTGAATGCGTTTTCATGGTCTATTCAATTTTACCATAATATTTTTGGTCGCAACCTCCACAATTTTTTCACAAATCTGGGTAGAGGTACCCCCAATTCAGTGACGTCATCACACCAGTCAGGTTGCTTTCCAGCTCGCCAGAAAAGACAGACAGACCACCCAGTCAACCAGAGGGCACCAAATTGTCACGTAGCGTCCTCAAACTGTCAGCCAGCTAGCTAACCAGTCAGAGCGTATGCTTCTGCATTTCAAAACATCGTAGTGGGAGATTTGAATTTTCTGTTGACATAAATAATTCAAGCAGACAGGCCATCCAGACAATCAGAATCAGGCGTATCCTTTAAAGAGACAGACCACCCAGTCACGTTGCGCTTACGTCAGCCCATCTTTTTGCTCAACACATTTTTGTTTCGCCACAGCCATGACGTCTTAAAAAAAGTTTTCGTTGGAGATTTTTTCTGTCACAATGTATTTCGGGTCACCCAACACATAGTGAAGTGAACGAACAGTTATGATAGCCACAATAATTTTTTATTGTTTGAAAATTTGGACGAATTCATTTGTGTACATTAATTTGTATAAACGAAGTACAACTCTGATTCATCGTCTTTCTGAAAAGTTGAAAGTTCATGAAAGCACTGCATTTTCGTATCGACTGAGTTTGAAATATACTTGTTACCCTGAGCTATTTCATTGAAATGGTTTTTTCGATCTCTCACCTTCCTTTTCAAGGAAACGAGATTAGCCTATGGCTGTGAATATTGCGATCAGACAGACGTTGGTCAAACTGAGCGAACTTTCATTAGGCGTTTCAAAGGATATATTACTAGTATCCACTTCCGTATAGCATAACAGTCCATGTGAATTAGAACATGCCATAAAGATGGATAATAGAATGAATGGTAAATATTTCAAATTGTTGACAATATACTTACTTTCAGACGCCTTTGAGAGAAAGGAAATTGAGAATTGTGAAAGGAAGTACATTCCAAACAGCCAGATGTTTGTTCTCTTGCGTAATGATTAGAACTAGAAAGCAAATGAATGTGAGGTTCTCATGTAAATTAGGAATTTAGATATCAAATATAACTGAGGAAATACTGAAGATTCATGTGATGAACCTCATTTGATGACGTGAACCGTTCTGGTGGTAGCAAT